GCTTCAAGATTTTGCCTCATGTCATGAAGGTTCTGCATGAGAAAAGCAGATCCCTTAACTATAGCATACATAGGAGTGGCTCAATGGTTGGAGAAGTAGGAGGAGTGAATAAAGACCTAGTTCCTTGGAGATTCATTGTTGATCTGGACAACCATGAGTGCACATGCAGAGGATGGCAGCTCACTAGACTCCCCTATGTGCATGCCATAGCTTTCATTAGCACAAGAAGGGTCCTATTGGAGGATTTTGTGCACCCTTACTACTCTGTGCAGAAGTTCATAGCAGCATATGCATCTGTTTTGCCTCCAATGCCAGACAAGGAAGAATGGAAGAAGGTGGACCTTGGCTTCAAGCTACTTCCTCCTTTATGTTATAGAGCAGCAGGTAGGCTAAGAAAGAGAAGGATAGTTGGCTCTGAAGAAGGTGGGACAAGCAGTAGAGGCAAGAGAAGGTGTAAAAGGTGTGGTGGATTTGGTCACCTACAGAAAACCTGCAATGAAACTGTCCATGATCCTGATGCCCCACCACCTGCACCACCAAAGAGGAGGAGGACTTACAAGCCAAAAGTGGTGGAGATCATAGAAACCACGGAAGATCCATCCAAGAAGAGGAAGAGGACTTCCAAGCCAAAAGTGATCAGGGTTACAGAAAACCCAGAAGATCCTTGTACTAAGAAGAAGAGGAAGGCCTCCACCAAGGGGAAACAACCCAACAAGAAAAAGAAGGCAACTCCTACAGCTTTGCAGAGCCCACACCTGCTAAACAGTATGTGATCCATCTGTTACCTTTAGTTTTTATGTTAGTTTAGGGACTACATGTTAACATGTGTATAATCATGCAGGGGTTCAAAACTCCCAGTGACAAGGAAGCAGCCAAGGAGGAGCAATGACAAGGAGCCAAAGTAGATCATCAAGAAGTCCCAAATAGCTAGCACTAGGAGCAAGAAGAGGTTGATGGAAGTCTAGGAGTGTGCAAGCAACATGGCTTCCTCTTTATGATGGATTTATGTGATTTTGTGAACTTCTCTGTCAGTTTAAGGATGCTATGGCCATATAAACTTGGTCTGGGTTATGTATGACACCTAGTATTGAATTCTGGCAAATGAACTATGTAATGTGTAAACTGGTATTGTATTGTGGCCATATGAGGCTCCACTTGGACTGGTATTATATTATGACACTTGGTATTGTATTATGGCCATTTGAGGCTCGGTTTCCTTGTATTAAACTTGGGATTGCAAGATAACTGTCTTCCATTCATTTCTCAAGCCATTACAAAGTTAATCTTGCTTCTGCATTAAGATGCACAAGACAACTGCACAAGACAACAAAGCACACAACTCCTACAAACACACTGCCACATTCAACCACCTATCCACTCTCTACTGCCCACTATTCTCTTCGACATGGAGACTCGAGCTTCAACAGAATTGCCCAGGGCCAACAGAGACTTCTCCAATGCCTGGACTCCGGCCGTCAATGATGCAGCATCGACGCCATCACTCACCGGCTTCCACATGAAGAAAGCGCACTTGCTGTTGCCCTATTCAAGCAGAGATTTCAGATGAACCCTAGATCTGGAGTTGGTGTTGACGAAAATGAACAACATGAAGTACAAAAAACTCACCCAGTCCCGATTCTTGCAAGTGTAGAACTGCTTATCTGGGTTGTTTGTGGTTCTGGAGGTCCACTCCACAATGGTGGCCATCCGGCAGAAAGGGCACAGCGGCTGCCCACCCGTCGGCGGCTGTCGACTCGGTCCGCGCGAACCTATCGAGGAGGAAGCGCCGGAGCCCGTCGCCATCTTTAGGCCTCTGCTTGCCCCCACCGGCCCGCTTGACAATCCCACGCCAAGCCAAGCTCAAGCCACCGCCATCAACCAACCAAATCGCCACCGCCGCCGACTTGGAGAAGGGATGGGGAAGAGAGGGAAGGCGGAGGCGTCGATACCCTAACTAACGGGGTCGGGCGGTTAAATGTGGTCGAACCAGACCGGGTTGCCGTTTTGGCTCGAGGGCACCACATGTCCAAAATGAATATTTCTCTCTCCTCTCTTGGCTCAAACCGGGGCGCGGTGTCTTGTGACAACTCAAAGTGGAAACACAGTGGCCAGCAGCAAATTGGCGCATTTGCGGTGTCCACCAGCCGTCGGTGCTCATTTGACATGTCCTGTGGCCAATTGTCCTTTTTTTTGAGAAAAAACCTAAAGGTAGACCAGGTCATGAAAAAACCCAAATAAAATATTTAGAACTTGTGAAAATATCTCTACAAGCTTCTAAAAATTATATTTAGCTCTAGAAAATAGGGACAACATCCATAAAAAATATGGAAATTCCCAAAATATTTGAATTGGTGTCTAAATGTGTTTTAAAAACTACCCACAACAAAAATATAATACTCAACCAATAATTTTAATTATCAATGCATTCATGCTTGTTGCATCTCATGTTTTTGTTGTGGAAAGTCTCAAAACGTGTTTATATATCATTGAGAACTTTTTGAGAAAATTTCTAGATTTTTTGGTTATTTATCCCATTTTCCTAAAACCAAATCTAATTTTTGGAATCTCTTAGAGATACTTTCACAAGTGCTAAATATTCTTTTTAGATTTGTCATGTCCAAATCTATCTCTAGGGTTTTTTCTCAAAACTTTTAGAAGCTTAGAGACATTTTTTGTGGTTTAAAACCATTGTCGTACATTTTAAAAAATAAACTAAAGGGTGAAATCACCTAAAGGACACTTTTCAACGTAGGGAGGTAATTAATTATTTTTAGAGTTGAGAGGGTAAGACATCCGCTTTCGAAGTTTAATAAGAAAAATCAAATCACATGCTCACGGCTACAGTTCAGAAAGGTGAAAATACCTTTTCCTTTCGAACGTGATAAATACCCATGCTGATCATGGATTAAAAAAAACAGAATATTGTCCTTATTTCTCCCAAGGGCTGGCAATAAATTAATTACAGCGGGAGAACGATGGTAGATGAAAAGCAGTGAAGGATGTTGTGAAAAAAAAAGGCAGTGAAGGATATAATTATAACAGATGGATGGACATGGTTTTGTCCAGGTTTCCTGTGCGCGAATGAACTGGTGACCACTTAGCTCGTGAGTCTAATTTAGCTGCGTCTGCTTAAAACGCTGGATCTCGATTAGGTCTGTCGCCGAAAAGAAACAAATTCTAGAGTTCACTCAGTTTGAATGACCCGATCATCTGAGAACGACGGTATTCACGGGGTCAGGTACACCACACTCGCTCTGCTCTGACGAAGAGTCCTGAGTAGTGAGTACAGTGTGTTTGTTATCTCCATCCAAGCCATAGGCATACCGCATATTACCTGTTCAATTTACAGTCCCAATAATATTCTACTCCAGTGTCCAGTGTCCAGTGTCCACTGCTCCAGTTATCTCGAGCGCCAGCAGTCCAGCGTACGGCTTCAAGCTTTGGAAATTCTTGCTACGGATTATCGAAGGATTTTCTCTTGTGCCCAGGGAAAGCGACTGGTCAGTGGTACGATCCTCATGGGAGGCTTAATTTTCGAGTGCAGGAGAGTATTGTTATAGAAGAAACATATAGAAAATAGAAACAAATCTTTCATCTCAAAGGAGGCTAAATCTGTTGGTTTATATGGGCTTGGTCCATTATGCATTCTCAAAAGCCTCATGGAGAAATCTCAAAGGCTCGTTCGTGTGATCAAAGAGTGAAAGTGGTAAACCTTTAGTCTCACCTTGCTTGTGGAGGTGAAGATAGCCATGCTTGAATATGGAAGTCATCTTCATCGCCTTGAGTCTAGTTTGATGAAGGGAAAAGAAGTTCATAGGCAGGCACTCACTTGCTGAACCAGGTGGGGCGAGGGTGAGGTGCACTTGCGTGAATGCTACACTGAGATCTAGCCTTGGCCTTGCGGAGGCACGACCTCTTTTGCAGAATTATTTTTGGTTATTTGGCCTAAATTACCACCTGTCGATCAATGGTCTGCAGGCACGATCTCTTTTGCAGAATTATTTTTAGTTACTTGGCCTAAATTACCACCTGTTGGTCAATGGTCTGCCGAAATCCGGCCTCTGGACTTGCGGGGGGCATGACCTTCTTCTGCAGATTAAAGTGAGAATTTTGACAAGTTGAATATTAATTGAGGGCAAGTTAGACTTTCAGCGCCCATAGTCCCCTATAATTCTTTTGCAGAATTATTTTTGGTTACTTGGCCTAAATTACCGCCTGACGATCAATGATCCGTCAAAATCCGGCCCTTGGCCTTGCAGGGGCACGACCTCCTTTTACATATTAAAGTGAGAAATTTGGCAAGTTGGATAATTAGTGGAGGGCAAGTTAGACTTTCAGCGCCCATAATCCCCTATAATCTGGTCTCACCTGGATTATGGGATTATGATAATCAAGAGTTTCGATTATAATAATTCATCGTATAATCAAATTCCGTTCGAATCAAAATTTGATCATATAATCTAATTATTATAATCAGAGAGGTATCAAATAGGGCCTCAGTGATCCATAATTTAAAAGTTAGCTTCCACAACAGCCGGGTCCAAACAAAGAACTAAGCAATGCATTGCTGCGCGCTGACCTGCTAATAACTAGCAGCCTGTTCGGATGGCTGGCTGGTTCGTGGATTATTACTGCTGGCTGGTTTGGTGTGAGAGAAAAATATTGTTCCGGCTGGAAATTTACGATCGTTTACGAGATCCACCCGTCAACCGAACAAGCTCTAGATAGTCGGTACCGCTGCCTCACAATGCCGTTAGCTTCATCCTCCACATGGGAACACTTCAACACCCAAGCAACGAGTGTGTACAAGTATGTTTCAGCATCTACACTACACTCTTCTGTGAGACTGTGCTTGCTGTCCTGTTGTCCCGTGTTATCTTCCAGTCACTCCATGACTTGCTAGATGTTTTAGTGTCACTACGATTATGTACAATTCCGTGCACTCGTCTTCTACTACATTCTAAAACAGAAACAGACCAGTTTCGCATCACGTTGCCTGATCACCAAAAGCTGTCCAGGTAGTAGTCTCTGGCCACCTCGTCGCCGAAGCTGATCCCGGAGAAGCCTGACGCCCGGGTCACGTCCGAGCACCGGAAGCAGAACCCGCCGCCGTGCGCATGCGAGCACGACGACCTCCTCGATGCCCCATCTCGGCTGACGACGCTCGTCCTCGGCGCCTGCTCGGCGTCCGTCGTCTGCCGCTGCCTCGGCGCGCTGTGGCACCGCGTCCTAGCCGCGGAGGACGCGGTTCCCGCCATGTACCGCGGGCTGACGAGCGCGTCCCGGTCCCGCTGCGTGGCGGCGCGGCGCCGTGGCGTGCTGGCCAGACTGTGCTCGACGCTCTTGGCGGGCGAGGAGGAGTCGTGGGAGGCGAACCGGGGCGTGCTCTGTGCAGTCTTGGAGCCCCGGCCGATGTCGCGCTCGCGGGTGCTCCGCCGGAGCGAGAGCCGCGCGGGCTGCTGCTGCTTGCCGCCGGGAAGCGGCGAGCACGACGGCGTCGGCGCCGCGTAGCGGTGATACTCCGGCAAGTGGTCCGGGTTGTACCTGCTGGTGAACCGCGAGGACCGGGAGCGGAGGTGGCAAGTGTCCATCTCCACGATCCGCGGGCTGCGCTCGTAGTTGGAGTCCGTGTTGTCAGACAGCATCCGCCGGTGCACCGGCGTCGCCAGCGGCTTCAGCTGCACGTCCCGAGCAAAGATCCTCTCCTGCACGACGAGGGACCATATAGATCAAAAGCCAGGCTCCGAGGTGCAACTTCATCTACACGTACATCGTTAATCATGCAGCAAGAGTAAAAAAAAACATGTAGATTACTTCTTGTTCCATGGATTTCTGGTACGAAGCATTTTTGACGGCGATGGAGTCGGCTTGCAGCCGCATGAGCGTCTGCAATCTGTGCAGCGTCATGGCTGCCTGCTTCCTCACCAGGTAGCCCCGTACCAACGCCTGGATCTTGACGAGTGACCGGAGAGCTCGAAGCGCTCTCCTAGCCTGACACCAAGGATTCAAACCCAATGTCAGACTTTCTTCGTCTAGGCAAAAACTGTTCAGTACTCGTATTAAACAACTCGGATTAGATAATGAGGCTTATGTCAGGCTACGTGATAATCAACTGCTCTGACGCCAAACAGAAACTTGATAGTACGGTGAAGTCTTCGCCGACGCAGAGTAAAAGACAGGTCTTGTTTAGATCCCGGTTAGAAATCAATATTGGGCACTGTAGCATTTTCGTTTATATTTGACAATTATTGTCCAATTATGGTCTAACTAGGCTTAAAAGATTCGTCTCGTAATTTACAATCAAACTGTGTAATTAGTTATTTTTTATCTATATTTAATACTCCATGCATGTGTCCAAAGATTTGATGTGATGGAGAGAGAGTGAAAAAACTTGGAATCTAAACAAGGCCACAGTAAACAATTGCACGACGGATCAACGTGCAGATTTTGTATAGTACCGACAACGCAAACGACAGTGTATCATGGAAAAAGAAAAGGGAGCAGGAGCAGAAGTGTCATCACATACAACAACAGCCTAGTTCACATAGCCAAAGCAGTAACAAACAAAAACGCTGAAGAATGTAGCAAAAATACACTGAAAGAGGCATCTGCGTCGTTGCACAAAAAGAAACTTCTATACTGCACATGACTTTTTTTTAAAAAAAAAGAAAGAAAAATGCAGTTTTTTTTTTAAAAGACAATACTTCTCGGGTACGTATGAGTGAACACGAAGCTAGGAAGAGATCAGAACGAGAAGAATAGACGGGTGCTCGGGACGATCGATCGTACAAGGTAACCTCTGAATGTTTTCTGGATCACGACCGCGGCACGGTGCTCTCGAGCTCTCGCGTCCTCCCTTGGCCTCATGACCTGTCGCGACCATTCCACCGCGGCAGGAGGAGCGACGGCGTCGAGACCCGACGACCGCGCGCCGCCGTCAGCTCCGCTCTTCCTCTGCTTTGCGAAGCTCCACCTCTTCTTCTCGTTCTCCGGCCCGTCGCCCCAGTCGGTACCGACATGGTTCGCCTGGAGTCCTCTGTGCTCCTCTTTTCTGCCCATCAGTAGCTGCTTGAGCCATCTCACGATGCGCCTCATGGTGCGGCAATTCTCTGCGCACGAGAATGCAAGGAACGAAGAAATCGGTCAACGAAAGGAATGGGAGGCAAGCTTTACAGCAAAGGAAGATCAACAGGCGAAATTCATCAACAGAACTACAAAAGAGTATAGAGCAATAAAAGAAGAACGGAGCGCTGCAGATGGGAATTTTGGTGGGGAAAAAAATAAACTGCACTACACTCAGATGAGAAATCTCAGCAAGCGAAGAAAGCGGCAACCTTTGGGATGGATGGACGATGACACGACGAGCTGTGCCTCCAACTAGAGGGGAAAAGAGAGCGTTTGCGTTTGGTTTGAAAACGGCCGACGGAGGCGCCTGGAGCAAGAAGCACCGGATACAACCTTTTCGTTCGGTAGGGAAAGGTAGAACTTCCAAAAGGCAGCGAATTGTACGGAGGAATCCTTGGGAGCGGATTGGACTTCAATTCAATCAAGAAGCAAAAAAACCAAGCTCAATTTGCTGTTGCAGCAGCGTCAGAAAGAAGCTCACGAGATTAAAGCAAGAAACTTTGCAGAGGAAGCAGCGGCAAAAGAGGCGGCTCAGAATTAGGCAGCAAATTACAGCGTCCAGCAGAGGAAGCCGGCGAGGTTTACGCGCGGCCGTCGTGCAGTGCAGCACTGCAGCCCCGAAGAGGAAAGCAAGCTAAGCTTTCGCTGAAAACCACGCGCGGATCAGCCTCTCGAACCGTGAGAGAGAGAGAGAAGCAGCGATCCCCACCCAGCGGCAGCGGCGATCGGATTAGTAGGAGGCGAGAGCGCCGGAACTGACGCGTGGGTCTCCACGACTCGGCGGCACCGCACAGTCAGTAGCGTCCCCGGGCCGGGCACACCCAGCTCACGAGAGATTCCTCCTCGCCCTGCTCCCCGCCCAAGGCTCCGAGTGCAAGCCAACAAAGCGCGCGGGGCGGGATCTTCCAAACGACCAGCTCAGACGCGCACTGCGGCTCCCGCCCTGCCAAGGCACACATGCCTGCCCACCGCCCCACCCGGCCACCCCGACGAGTAAAAACGGTGCAAGTGACCAGCCGGTTAACTAGCAGTGCCCGGCAGAGCAATAGGTCACACACCTAGAACGGCCGGCCGGCCGGCCGGCGCCTGAGCCAGCGGTGAGAGCGGCCGGGGACCGGGAGATCAGCAGGCTGTTCGTTTCGTCGTAAACGAATATGGATTATTTAATGTTGGCTGGTTTGGTATGAAAAAAAAATTATTTTAGCTTATAATCTAGGATCGTATACGAGAAGCAGCCGGGCGATTCGATGACGCCAAGATCTGCCGGTCCTGGCTTCGCGGGCGCCCAGTGGGATATGTTAGTTGATCTCCACCGGCCTATTGGGCTCTTGCCTCTGCTCCCTGATCGGGGGAGCTCAACCCTAACTGGTTGGTGGGTCCCTGTCGCACAGCACATATATATAGAGGAGTGGAGAACTGGGCTCGGGTCACGAGGTTGAACGGAGCCGCCATCCCACTCACAGAAACCCAAAACCGATCTAAAGGCCGTGCTGCCAGCGACGGGATGTGTCCCACCACCGCCGTCGCCCCACTACAGGGTCACCACCGGACCGCCGTCTCTCCACCAGCGCCACTGGACTTCACCGCCACCTCGCTGGACGTCTTCTACACTGCGGCACCGGCGTTTACCCGCTGCGATGCATCTACCGAGAAGACAAGGAGAGGCTTACCGGATCTACGGTTACACAGAGGTACACATTATGATTCTAACAATGGTATCAGAACGAGGTTGCCTCTGTGTGACTCTAACCCTAATCGGGTAAAAGAAATGTAAAAGGGACCGGGGGTGGCGGAGGTCACTGGAACCCCGGTCACCACCGCCACCGCGCGGGAAAAGTGCCGCACTGACACGGCAAGAAAGAACAGATCCGTGTTCGGATCAGAGAAGAAGTAAAGAAAGGGGAAAAGGATCTCAAGAACCCTAACCCTAACCCGCGCAGAAAGCTCGGGGAAGAAGAAGAGAAAAGAACCGAACACTTCCTTTCGGATCTGATTCCCTAACCCTAACCCTAACTGGGTTAAAGAAAAGGGGAAAAGAAAAGGTTTCGGCCTTAAGATGAACAGAGCCGAACCCTAAATCCGAAAAGAAAAGAAATCAAAGAAAAGAAAAGAAATCAATTGAAAACCCTAACCCTAACCCTAGATCTCGATTTCGGATGAACAATGGAACGGAAAGAGAGAAGATCAATCCAAATCGAAAAGAACAAGGGGAAGAAGGGAAGGGCTGCCGCCTCGCCGGCGTATGAAGATGAACAGTGAAACCCCTTCCCAAACCCTAACCCTAAATCATGACCCCATCCCCAAATCGGGTTAATCCCAGAAGGAAGAAAGAAAAAGGGAAAAGAGAAAGAGCCGATTTGGCTTATCTCGCCGTCAAAGAACCAACGGCGCGCGGGGAAAAGAAGACCGAACTCCGGGGGTGCTGCTCGTTGGACTCAGGCCACACGGGTGCCGTGGCCAGGCCGCTCGACGGCGGCGCGCTCACCCGCTGGGGAGCGCGCACGCCGGCGAGGGGGCCGGCGACGGCGCCGGGGCTCTCTGCTCCACTGTTTCGCCTGCTCGTCGCTCGGTTGCGGCTGCGCTGCGCTGAGGAGAAAAGAGAGAGAGGCGATGAGAGAGAGAGCACCGGGAAGAATAAAGCTAGGGTTTTTCCCGGGGGCGCGCGGCGTCGGGATTTTATCTGAGCGAAATGCGTGCTCGGTCGTCGGATCTGGACCGATGGCCGAGATCGAACGGGCCAGCGTCGTGGCCCAGGCGGGCGCGCGGGGGCGCGGTGCTTTGCCGGCCCAAGCCCAAGTTGTGGCCTGGGTGCGGCCTGGGCGCGAGCGAAGAGGTGGGCCGAGCCGATTTTGCGGGTTTTGGGCCGAAACAGTAAAGAATGAGCCCGTTTCACATTTTTATTTTTCCTGAAAAATTGAAAATGCAAATTGGCTCAAAAGAAAAATAGAAAAAGGTATTTTACCTATGAGTAAAATTCAAGAAATTGAGTTAGAGTTTTTCCGCTGCTAAAGAAAAGGTATATTCTCCAGTGATTTTGAACCGACATTATATTTAATTGGAGAAAAGAAAAGTTTTTCCAGTAAATGTTTATTTTCTAGAAATTGATTAATGGATTAAAGAAAATAGAAAATACAATTTCCCCTGTGGGTAAAATTCAAGAAAAGGAGAAGTTTTTCCACAGCTAGAGAAATTGTTTATTCTCCAGTTAATTTATACCAACCTGGTATTTAATGGGAGAAAAAGAGTTTTGATATAATTATGATGTTGTTGTTTTCTGACCAACGTTGTTGATAACAATATCGTAATGTTAATGATTTATGCATTAATTCTACTTCTGCCCAACAGTGCTGTAGAATTAGTGTATAAGAACATATGTTAATTTTAATGATTTATGCATTAATTCTACTTCTGTCCAACGGTGATGTAGAATTAGTGTGTAAGAACAGTTATGAAAGTTAAAGATTTATGCATTAATTCTATTTCTACCCAACGGTGATATAGAATTAGTGTATAAGAATAATTGTATGTTTTGATTTTGACCAACGTTGGAATCAAGGCATGCAAATGATGTTTTTTTTGTTAAGAAAAGTTTTAAACTAGTTTTCATCTTGTCTAAGGTGGACTGTGTAGTCACCTCAACGTGTTCCACTGAGTTTGTGGCACCGGTGAGGGAGACAAAAGAGAACGATGCCATTTGGACAACTAAAGAAATGGATTTTGAATCCCAAAAGATGTCCTATGACTTTTGAGCATAGAAAGTGGGTGAAAGGACTTAGGATGCCGCCTAGAGGGGGCTGAATAGGCGTTTCTGAAAATTAACACCTTTAAATGCGGAAACGATTAGTAAAGAGAGTTTCCAAAATGGAAACTCCAAATAAAGAGTAGTACCACCCCTCACAAGTTAGCCACAGAGTATATAAAAGATACTAAATGATTCTAGGAGCCAAACGCCTGCAACCAAAGAGTTAGGACACAATACAATTCAGTTTGGCGCAGGGGCTAATACCGGACGTGTTCGGTAGGTATACCGGACGTGTCCGGTATTCACGACTTCAGTGGAACAGCCCCGAACTTGCTTTTTTTGATTTCTATCTTCAATCCAAACTGCAGGAAACTATTAGAGATAGTAATATACACAGAGAACCTGCAGAATAGCTAGAGCAACACAAATATCAAATGAAATGCGAATTGAGACACGATATTTTTTTACCGAAGTTCGGACTCGTTCTAGTCCTACTCTCCGTTGAGGGGGTTGCGGGCGACCCAGCGAAGGTCAGCCCTAGAGGGTACCACAAAGGTCACTCTAGCCGGAGTCTTTTCCAACTCCTTTTCCTCCTTCCACTAAATGATTCCGAGGCGGCGGAATCGACCGTTACAAACTTTCCGAAGCAACCATAATCTCTCGGTTGCTCTCCGGCGACGCCTAGCCGTCTAGGACCGAAGAGTCCAAGAGTAACAAATGCGAATCACGAGATTGACAATATGCACAAGTACACAAGTGGTGGCTTGCTCTCTTTTTCGAATTCTCTCTTAACCCACAAATTAATTTTGTAATTTGGATCACACACTCACTAAGAGAGGGTTTAGGAGAGTTGGCAAGGCTCAAAAACGTGTGTCTATCTCAGCAGAATCAGCAGCCTCCAAAGGTGGAGGCTTGGGGGTATTTATAGCCCCCTTAAAAAACTAGCCGTTGCAATACCGGACACGTACGGTATGCATACTGGACACGTCTGGTATGACTTACACTGTCCCAACGGTAACTAAGTTACAGTGAAGTTGTGAGGCGTCGAAACTCCCGATGAATGCCGGAACTCCCGACTCACGTCGGAACTCCCGATCCTCAGCAAATTTGAAAACCATGTAACTGAGTTAAAGAATATAAGGTGTCGGAACTCCCGACACATGCCGGAACTTCCGACCGTCGGAACTCCCGACTCACGTCGGAACTACCGACCCTCAAGGCTTTGGAA